GTGTGTGTGTGTGCGTGCCTGCGTATTTAAAATTTGGACACATTTTACCACATTTAGCTGAAACTAAAACTGTGAGTAAGCATGTAAGGGCATTCATTGTGCCAGTTATGGCAAGGATAAAACTGATGTATATGTATTAAATGTGTGTGACACCAGTGTGCAGTGAGTTAGTCAGTGAGTTAAAAAGGCAGGCACAACTCCAGCTAGTCTATTATTAGAGCTGCGGCTGCTGCGGCTGCTGCTCCCGCTGCTCCCTGGTTGGGGCCCCCGGGGGCCAGGGCACCGGCACGTGGATTCCTGCTCTCTCCCCATCTCTCTGATCTCTCACAGGTCTTTTCATTCAGATTCGTACGGGGAGCAAAGACGAGCTCCTTCAGCAACGCAGAGAAGAAAGAGGAGAAGGGGAGGAGGAGAAAGATGCAGAGAGGAAAAGGGGGAGAAGTCTGAGAGAGACCCTGCTGCTGAATACACAGCAGTCAGATTAAGATTAAACAGTAAATAAAGAGGTTGAAAACGCACATGACAGCAGAAGAACAACCAGAAAGTTTATACTACACTATACTATTGCATAGTACTATTTGCATGCAAATGGAAAAGCTTTGCATTGCGTAAAAGCTGAATTACTAATCCAATCGAAATATCAATATGTGAATTACAACTACGTCATAGAGAAACATACATTAAAATACATATTTTGTGGATATTTACTTTAAATGGTCCATTTAATGTCCTTCCTGCATTTGACAATTTGTTAGAAATTATCCGTAACGATAACCCTATCCATCTTATACTGCAAGCAGGTCAAAACTAGTGCGTTCTTCCACCCATTCATCAACATACTTCCCTGATAACATCTGAACATTTTGAGTCATGAATGGCTGTTGTGTTTTTTACTGAAGTCTTGTACCAAAGCCACTTATCTAACTTGGCCATCCAGACTCTAAATGACTTCCAAATGGCTTGGTCCATTCATGTCTTCACTCCCACACACTAAGAGAAGTATGGCAGCCCACTGAAGAAAAATTAACACAAACATGTATTTGCATGCAGTTAACATTACTAAATAATGATGGATGGGTGGATAAAGCCCCAGAGAAGGCCAAACATATACATGAGTATGTTTTATGTCATCACAAAAGATTCTCCAGACTTATCATTTAATGCACTGTGGTTCTTCTTTACAACAGTAGGGGGCAGTAATTACCTGTGACCTCTGAGATGCTGTGTGGGGGACAGACTATTACTCGGGGACCACACTAGAGACCTACAGAATGTAAACTGTGATGCTGTGAGGAATGCATCTTCAGGATCTAGGCTATGGATTCAGAGGAGTCAGGATGGGATTTTTTTCTTACATGCCAGCCTTGAAACAAAATGTCATGCAGTGAACTTTTATAGTAGAAATACACAACAAACAATGGAAAGGTTTACAGCAACCATGGGCAAATTAAAGATCTAGCACAGGGATCTCAAACTGCTGGCTCATTCGCTCCCTCTGGCCTGTGTCGTTCATGATGTCAAAAATATAATCTGCAAGATTATTATTATTTTTCTAGTTGCATCATATCAATCTAACTACCCTTTCATATACAATTGAAATGAATTTGCATTTGTGTGTTAAGTATGATAGTAATGGAGATATTTTCACAATATTGCACTTTTTTTGTTGAAGTCGCCTTCCTATGAGATGACAATACCAGCAAGCCAGACACCTGATTTACAGCCACCATGAGCAAATTAATGATCTAGCGCTTGAACATGGCAGATATTTCACCACACAACATGAGATCTAAACCAGTCATCCTCACTTCTCTGAGAGCATGTTGTTTTCCTAATACTCCTTAAACCTGCACATTAAGACCAACTGACATCAATCTCATGTTTCTACCCGTTTAGCAGGGATCAGCATTTGTGGAGTAAGCGGATAGCATTAATTACATGTAGGATTTTACCTTGCGACATAATGTGAACTTGCTATTCAGGTTCGAGGCCAGGTTAGGGTTGGGTCCTGCCCTGCCGCCCCAGATGAACAACAATAAAAACCACACAAAGGAATGATCTGGAAAACACAACATTTACCAGGTTGTTTGGTCAAATAACCTTACAAGAAGGCAGCTGAAAAAGATGGAGAAAAAGTCTTGTAATAGGAAAGCCCTGAAGCTAGAAATATATTGCTCTGCTGCTCTGACAGAGCCGCTCAGTGGCTAGCTCTGGTTGTATTTGGCAATAGTGACAACATCAAAAGTTACTAAGGTCAAGAAAAAGTCCACTGTTTCTTTTTTCTTTTCTTTTTTTAAGTCAAACTATACTTTTATACAGTCAAATCTGAAAACAAATTGAATATATATATATATGGCTCAATCCAGAACAAATGTTGAACTAGGACATTTCAACTTGAATTTCACTCTTACTGAACTGTAATGTAGCTTTAAAGAGGGAAAAGCAATTTTAAGAATTATAGTTGTAGCTCTGAGGTGTGAATGTGCAGGATTGTATAATTAGAGTAGTAGTATGTCTCTGAATGATGCTGAACAAAAGGATGAAAACAACAACAAGTGCGAAGACAGAGTGCTGGCATCACCGCATCTCGGACAAGTGAATGGCTGTTGTCCTTTGAGGCAGATGTCAGTACTGCAGCAGGATGGCAAAACTAAAGACTGGTCTGCACTGCCACCTGGTGGTCATTAGAACAGCTGTATAAATCACTCAAATCTCCCGCTGTTTAAATGGTGTGAACTTATTTATTAATATATATTGACATCAATATCAAGGCCCCCAGTTTCACAATGAAATGAAAACAAAGGTATTTTCTTCTTCATGCTGCACATTAAGCCTACTTGAAAATGTTCGTCAAGGCCATTCTTAGACCTGTGCTGCTGAAAAACACAGCTGCTTCTGAGGGCAGTAATAGGCTGGAGTCAATGTGGACAGAACCGACTGACGCATCAGTAGTTGCACTTATATCTCATTTATGATGTGGATTCCCATTTAACATTCCTGTAGTCCTCTGTGTACTACTGTCATTGTTGTATTGTCCCGTTTATATGTTTCCAACTCAGAAGACTGCTTTCCTTTCGCTATTCAGTCTTTTTAATCAAGAAATTGTAATAGATATTTCCAGTTTAGTAACATGATTTCTAGGGATGCACGATATGGTTTTTTTTCAGCTGATACTATAACCAATAATTACCTTCTTCTCACTACCGATACCGATAATTTCACATTTTTGTATTCTAAATATAAGTTCACAACCTGTAGTTGATGCACACCTGTTGGTAAGAAAGGCTAAGATGTAGTGAGCTTAGATGGATGATTTCATAACACAACAAAAACAAAAAACTGTTCTGAAGTGTTCATGTATTTCTTCTAGTCAAGTACATCAAAAACTTCACAAACATACTTTGGCTTTCATAGAAGCCTACTTAATGTTTTAAATAAGAAATAAAAATACATTATAATTTTTGCAAACCGACAATGTATCAACTATAATTTAATCAGCAGAATAATACATAATAATATAAATTTCACATTATAGGTGCATCCCTACTTCAACCCCTGTGTGACTGTAGATGTATTATTCCAGCTTACCGTGGTGCTGTGAACAGATTGGCCCAACTCTATGACATCCGGATCAGTGGACTGTGTATCTGCCACTGCTGGACTGATCTGTGGAGAGAGAGAAAAGTCATATATCGCTGCTCCCCTTATAACCTTCATAACATATCTCTTCATTTCTCACTTGTATAAGCTGAACACAGATATTATGTGTGGAACTGCAGTTTTGAAGCCTGAACATTGGTCAGTTTTAATACAACTGCTGTGATGACTGCTTGATTTTATTCCTGGTCCTGTCAAGTCGTATCATCTTCATGTTAGTTTGTATGGTAGACGATAAAAATACACCATTAAACTTGTATATTACTAACTTACTTAACTACCACCGCATAATTATAGAACCAGCCTTAAATAATTTACTAAAAATAGTTAGGTAATAGTTAGGTCAGTTAGGTAAAACTGACCTGAATGGCTGTGGGCTGCGGGTGGTGAAGGTGGGGTCCTCTGGGGTGGATGTCAGTCACATGGGGTGGGGGATCAGGGGTGGATCTCCGGCTGTGTTGTTGCAGGACGTCCTGGTAGGATTTGGTGTCAAAATTTGTCCTCCACATCAGCACCTAGGGGATCGAGGGACCAACACAACTTCTATGACCCAAGTTCTTTAAACCTTTTAGCACAGAAAGTAAAAAAGATAACCTTTAAGTTACAAGCTATTGAGAGTATGGGGACACACTACACCAACCTGACCATCAGCTCCCCCTGAGGCAAAGAGATCTCCAGCCCTGGAAAAGGATACTGTGATTACTGCACCCTGGAAAACAAAGTAAACCATGTAAGTAAATGGAAAAAATTTATTTATTTATTTCTAAATATTGGAAGTGAAAAAAACGCTGCTCAGACTGCCTATAGCAGAGGGCTCAAACTCAAACTGGCTTGGGGCTACTGCTGGTATTGTCCTGGGCCACTTTAACATTCAAGTACTAAAAAAAAGCGCAATATTCTGAAGATATTTTCCATTATTAACATCATACTTAACAAAAAGTGCAAACAAAAAGTTTATATACATTTTTTTTATCATCAATATAACATCTTTGTTATATTCAATCGGACATAAAAAATTAAGCCCTGAAACCTGCTCTTCTTTTCAACTGATTGCGGACTGCGATGTCTTATAATAGATTTTTTTTTTTTTTTTTTTTAAATTGTATATGAAGGGGGAACTTTAGATTCATATAAATAATAATTTCAAAAATAATTGAAAGAATTAAATATTGCAGGCCGTATTATATTATATTTTTGCTATCATGTCAAGGGCCAGAGTTAGAGGGATGGTGGGACGGAAATGGCCCCTGGGACAGCAGTTTGAGAGCCCTGGCCTATAGTGTCTGATGACTGCGGGTGAACTGAGATGTGCTGTAATATCACCTTGTGTCCATGGAGGGTGTAGATGAGGCGTCCCTCCAGCAGGTCCAGGATCTTAACAGTGCTGTCACTGGAGCCACTGATCAGGTAGTTGTTGGATGGGTGGAAGGAAAAGCTGTTGATTCCTGCACTGTGGACTGATCCAAAAGGTACAAAAATGAGCCACACACAAAAAGCACATTCACAGCAATTCACACTAAGCAAAGCAAAAAAAAA